TTACGTAAAGCAGCGACGTGCGTTACGTAAAGCAGCGACGTGCGTTACGTATGGCAGCTTTACGTAAGTAACGTATAGCAGCGACGTGCGTTACGTATAGCAGCCTTACGTAGGTTACGTATGGCAGCCTTACGTAGGTTACGTGTGGCAGCCTTACGTAAGTTACGTGTAGCAGCGACGTGCGTTACGTACGGCAGAATTAATAGCGGTGCCGCGAAAGCTGAATTGAGCTTAGCTGTGTTTCATATTTAATTCGGGCCGACCCCTTCCGAAAAAAGTTCAATAGATTGACATGGAATAAAAGTCTTAGCACGCTCAGAAATCCTGCTAGATCGGTATAAAAAATTTACGTGATTGAATGACTAATCACCACCACAACTACTGGAATTTATCTTGGGTCACCGTAGGTGACAATAAGGAAACCCTATGCCCTATAAGGTTTCCTTATAGGGAAGGGAGAATTTTATTCCTCCCCGTGGGTTCCCCCGTGGGGAGGACTCAAAACTCCGTGGGGCCCCATGGGGCCCTATGGAGCAGCCTTATCATAGTTCACGAGCCACTTAGCATGCTTCGCTTAGCATATTACTAATCAAGAGACCCTTAACTTGACTAGTAAACCTATTAGTTAGCTAGTGCACGTGATTCCTTCTAATCATATAAAAGGTTTAAGGAATCAGCTCCCTTGAGTCTTAAGGAGCAACCAGAATTCAGATACCTTTATAACCGAGTGTTTTGCAATTGCAAGTATTTTGACGACCGCTTACGAAGTTACAGATATCTTCCCCAATCGCTTGGAAGCAATCTAATAAGTTATAAATATAATCGAAAAGTTGATGTTCTTGAATTTTCGCTAAATTTTCCGAGCTTTTTTCGCTGTTACAATTGTAATTTTGGGTAAAAAATATTATTTTACTTATTTTAATAATAAAAATATATAATATGTTTTATAAATAAATTATAATTTACTTATCTCGATTCGTATATCTAGTTTTTATTATTATAGCTTTTTAGTTATTGACTTATTCTTAATACAAATCGCGATTTTCGATTCTTTTCTATAAAGAATCAAAAACATTTTTTTTTTTTACGATTTGCAATTTGAATTACTTGATAATAAAAAGAGCTATATTGATAAAATTTAAATGCATTAATCGGCGGAATCGAGCTCTTTAAAAGTATCAAATTTTTAATATTATAGCTTTATTTGTTATTAAGTTATTTCTAAAACAAGTTGAAATAATTGAAATGGGACACTTGCTTGACCTGGGACACTTGCTTGCCTTGACTGTGACCGAGAGCCCGCAGGTCACAAAGTCAGTGCACTGACTATTAGTAAGGGGTGGGTATAGCAAGGTGTGAGTGTATGAGCAAAGGGTGGTATATTAATCAAAGGTTTTCTCTTCTTGGAGGTCTGTCGTACGTATTACATTAAGTAGATGGATCGGGCGCTTAGAGGTGATGTTTACTTCTACTTGATCAAACAAAGGTATATTAGTTTAAATACAATTGGGTACTGCCGAGAGCCTTTTTAGCGCCTCGATAAAGGGGTTTCTTATTAGGTAAAGTGGAAGAAGAGCAGGGTGCACTGGCTAGCCTTGGCACTGGTTACTACTACAACCTCGTCCCAATTCCTAGTTCTAGAGAAGTCAAGTCAACCACAACCACAGCCACACTCATCAGAAGCTTCTTCCTGTGACCTAGTATTATCACTAGATGAGTACTATCAACACAATCGTACTTCCCAAACCTTCCAATTCTGTAAGGTTCTTGAGCCCGCGCAATGATTATGCTCGCCATAAAGAGAAGACCACCCGGCCTACCGCAACCAGAATCACCCCAATCCATACTATCATAAAGCCAATATGCTTAATACCCGTCATAGCCCTAGGTTGGATCATTTCTTTTCCTCCCTTCGTCCCAAGCGATCCTCTTGGAATATTACCCCAAGAATCGTCTTGAATTGTTACCAGCGACCATACCACAATCGCAGGCATCATCAAAAAGAACCAGGCGATCGAGGGTACAAGCCAAATGATATCTGAGCGGGTAGCGAAGTCTGCGCTAACGTGCACCAGATATACGACTTGGAGTGCATACATACAGAACACATCGGCGAGGACAGCGACAGTGATTGGGGTCGGGGTTTCCAGTCCCAAGGCGCAGGATGTAATGCTCATGAAGACCAGTAATGGCATGGACCGAGCCTTCAAAATGTTGTAAATGTGCCACGGGTACAGTCGGTTGACCATCCATGGGTACCAGAGAGTCTCGATCATCGTTACCCTGGACCATCGAACCTAAGAAGGAGTCAGTGAACAATCCTGTCTCGTCGTTGTGGCTCTTACTTGTTGTTTGACCCATGCGGTGAAATTGTTTGGCGCGTCCGTGTACACGATGGCCTTATGGGCATAATGGACAGTATACCCGGCCCATAGAATTCTGGTCGTCAAATGCCGATCTTCATTGGTGACCTAATAAACAAATTAGTCTCGCTTCGCTGATCTACGGGGTCTATATCAAGGAGGAAACTTCCTGTTCTGTGTCCGAAAACCCGCTGACAAAGCCACGGAACGAGGACGGATTTGAGAGCCGAGACTCGGAATGCAGCACAAGGGCCCGGTTGGCATTCCGTTGCCCCAAAGATCGATCCTTGGGCCTTGGAAATCTCCTGCTCGAACCAGTAGTGCGACGCTGTCATGCGAGAGAGGAAAGTAGGCTGGGGGTGAGAGAAGCGCAGATGGCCCGAGACGCCGCCAACATTGGTATCACTCTCGAACATTCTGGTCATCTCGCTCATTGCTCCTGGCATGATTGCGGAATCAGAATCCGTACTGAAGAGATAATCGAAACCCAGCTCCTCTGATATGATCGACGCAAAACTCAAGGCCGTGAATAGAATATCCTTCTTCGATCGGTGGGGCTGAATCACGCATAGGGCTTGAATATTTTTGATGCCTTGAGGAAACAGTTGCTCTGCGATGGCGCTCCGGATCGCGCTCGATACATGGTCCATGACGAATTTGCAATTCTGTTCGTCCTCGAAGTCGCCTAGATTGGCGGAGAGCATGTATCGATCAAGTGTTTGCGAAAGAGGTTCTTTCAATCGAACTACATGTCCATCTGGGAAAACCTGTGGCACTTTTAGCGAGATGTTAGGTATATTCGGGATGCAACTGACACTCAGAAAGGTCTTCAACATGTCCTCGTCCGCTTCTGTATCCCCGTCTATACCGGCAATCACGGGTCCGCATTGTGGATCGAATGCAAATCCTCGGAGACATGTACGGTACAGCTCTTCGTCTTCTCGCCATCCAACGACGGTGGCTGTCATTCGTGGGCCGTCGGCGTACTCTGTTGCGCTGCTGGAACTCCGGGTATCAAAGTTGTCCACCTTCTCGGCGAAAACATCTTGCTCCGGATTGCTAGTTGCTTCCGCTTGACTGTGAAACTCTTCAACCTTTGCCTTTTGCAATCGACCACGAACGCTAGACAAGCCATGGGTGTAGGCAAAAGTGACGAGTAATTTCACCAGAATATCGATTGTCAGTGTGAGCATTCCAAAGCGAAGTGTCGCTAGTGAGGTTACTATAATGCCTGCTGTACCAGCGATGGTCAAGAGGGGCTTGAGTACTCTGATAGAAGATGGTCCCCGAAGCATTTTGATGACTGTGCTCGGTTTGATGATGGGAGAAGATGGGTTCTGGAGTCTTTGGAAAATCCAACCCTTTAAGAGTGTTTAGGAGTCATGCGTTCGTTCGAATACGAGAAGAAATACACATCCGTCCCAAAACGGCCGAGAAGCGCAATACACATCTGTTGTTAGACAGCCCGAGGCACAACTTGAAATAGATGTCATTCTACTTTCTTGCCCACTCTCGAGCCTGCTTCTAGGTCTCTTGGCACTGTAGACCTCGTCTGCATGTTAGTTGCTTTTCTTTCGTCCAAAGTGTAGCCTGGGTTCTCGTTTCCACTCGCGTAGAGGCTTTACACTCATATCTTGCTTGACACATCATTATACCAGTACCTGTTTTATGTCTCACCAGGGGGAAATTTATAGAGAGAGATTACCCGGGGCATTCAAGATGTACTTTTGAGTAGTATAATAATATATATATATATATATATACGACATTTATGGCCTGATCTGGCAGAATTTTTGCGTGGGTAGCGCGGTCCAATGGATCGCAGAAGGCTTTTATGCTTTACGGGATGTTGGCATTTTGGCATTTTGACATTTTGGCAGTTAGGCATTTGGCATTCATGCAGCTCAGCTTCTTGGGCCGAATAACTCTTCTGTCGCGTCACGCCAATCTATCGAAGCGCTCTCTCCTATCTTGCCTAGCCTTGACTTCTAGACTGTCTGCTCTGAGACCAACTGCATCTGCTGCCCTGACTCCACTCAGCGTCAGGGTCGTATAGAGAGAGAATCCTAGCTATCGATAAGGAGACATCACCGACAAATGCAATATCTACTCGAAAGGGAAATGGTCACAGGTCGGTCAGAGTGGACCTGAATCAGGTCATAGGTATACGATTTACGGTACTGATATTATCCGAGAAAGATGATCTAGAACTGTCGGGGGCCAACACGAGTTACAAGACATGCCACCCTGAGACATGGTCACATACCGATTTCATTTCCGCTTGAGTTTGAAAGCATACCTATTGATGCATATTTTCGCCATCGTTGCCTCGTTGCCTCGTCCATAATCCTCCTCCTCGCAGTATACAAGGTGCCACTTCTTCTGCCTCGAACTGACGATAGCAATCAATCAAAACACAACGTTGTTTGGCTCGACTTCATTTTCCCCATCCACTTTGCATTGAATCTCCAAGTCTCCCCTTTTCCACACCCCGAAATGGCACCGTCTCTGACATCGACGCTCAGCTTGCTGAGCTGGTGCGTGTTCATGATCCCCATCAGTGGGCACACGCTTATGCAGCACCCAATACCCTTCGCTAGTCAACTTGGTGGCGATGGGCGTGGCATCAATGACAATGGACCGATGAAGAGCGACGGTTCCAACTGGCCCTGCAACGGCGAGAAGGACTTTGATCCCAAGGGGGTAATGAACATCTGGGAACGTGGCTCCACACAGTATTTGCAGTAAGTTGATTCCCACTAGGGAGAGAGGGAGCGAGGGTATTGAGACTCGGAGCGTTGACATATTCTCTACTGTCTAGGGCAATGGGTGGAGCAAGCCACGGTGGTGGCTCTTGTCAAATCTCCATTACCTTGGACCTCAAGCCCACCGTCTACAGCGAATGGAGAGTGATCCATTCGATCCACGGCGGTTGCCCCATCAGAAACTTGACCGAGGTCAACTACGGTAACTCAGAAACGACTCTCTTACCGAGTATCTACAACTTTACCATCCCAGACTGGGTGCCTGTCGGGCAAGCCGTGATGGCGTGGACGTGGTACGGCCGTTGGAGCGTACCAGAGATGTTTATGAACTGTGCTCCGATCATGGTCTTGGGGGGGCCGACAAGTAAGGATGTCTTTGATGAAACGCTGCGTGAGAAGTTCAATACTGCTCCTCTGATGTTTGAGGCGAATAATGGGAATGGGTGTTGGACCGCGAACAAAGGCAGCTGTATTGAATTCCCCGAGCCGGGAGGCTCTCTGGAAGTGAATCCGGAATGTCCTTTCGACCCGGAGATGATGTTCACTGGGACTTGTGGTCCATCGCACAGGTTGGCGATGATGTACTCATCCGGCATGCCGAATGAGCACAGAATGCTCGCAGGCTTTGTGGTAGCCGTGTCTGTGCTTCTTCTCATTTCCGTGGTCAAAGTATTCAGAGACAGGCGAGGTCTGGGAGAAATTCAAGGGTATAAAAAAGTGGTCCATGCTTGAGAGGCTGGGAATAATAGCATAACAGCATAATAGCATAATGAAAAAACAAACTGTCAGATTCGTAACCTGGCAATCACTCCGCATGTCCACAGAAACCACGGGGAAGACAGATAATTGCAGCAGAACGAAACGTGGCGAGAGGGTGAGAAGTGTGCATCGCCTCGTCTCGGGCCAAGACAGACTCCAAGGCTGACTCGACTCGTGTGCAGAACTTGATAAGATTGGATGAACCAATGAATGTTCGAGTTGCATTGCTTCTAAGGCTTATTGCTCTCCGGAAGCATAACCGGCCGGAGAAAATGAATGATCTCTGGCCCAAGAGACGGCAGTTGGAGTACCGGTACTACGTAAACAAACAACAGCATGATGCAGAATGGTGCGAACACAATACGAGATGTGAATTACCCAAGACACAACCCACCCTACATGGGATTTCGGATTTCGGATTTTAGGACCTCGATTTCCGTTGCTCGGCCGGCTGCATCACAGCATTGATCGATGCGACCGACTTCGGTTGGCCTTATTGGGTGTCGCAGATCGCTCCACCAGCCGGCACGTTTCCCTCGTCGTCTCCGCTGGTCCTCCACTCCCTATACACACAAAGACAGTTGCTCACTGTGCGCCATTTGGTAGCTCCCCGTCAATCCAATTCCATTGCATCTGCTTCCTCGTAGTCTTCCGGGTCAGACTCTACCCTGAACGAAACTTCTTCCAATGACTTGGCGTTGGGCGTCCAGTCCATATCATCCACAGGCCTTTCGCTTATCTCATGCAGGGCCGCTTCCAACCTCGCCCTAGCTGCGCTGGCATTCACCGTGCTAGCGACCTCCCATTCCTTCAACTCTGACCACAACCGATAAAATTTATCCTGCCTCGTTTGATCACAAAACATGGACATCAAATCCTGGGCCTGCAAAGCCATTTTCCGCATCTCATCATTGTTGCACAAGTGCCGATGCACCGCGGAGTTCCGAATCCGCACGGCGTCTGCTAAAGCTTTTTCCAAAGTGTTATTTGACAGCGGCCTAGTGGCGTTTGGCGGTAGAGCAGTTGGGAGGAGACATTTCCAAGTGGACAATTCCACGGCTTCGGCACAATCCCAGCCTTTGGCACAGAGAATCTCTGGGATCCAGCGGGACGCAAATTCGTAGCAGCTCTCCTCGAGCATCCATTCAATCATTACGAGGATGTAATGTTGAACTTGGTATGGAAGGCCTAGGTCGGAAACTTTCGGGGTAGGTTCGTGGGGCAGGCTGGAGGTACCGGTACTGACGGGCTGGGGAACTGTCTGTATAACGAGTCAGTGTTTCGGCATACCTTGAGAGGCATGCAATACCTACTCTTGTCCAGACCTTCCTACTGCCGGCCGTATTCTGTCTCTTTCCAGCATTCTTTGGAGCCCAGATGCTAACCGAAAGCCCCTGTCCGCCGTCAAGTCCGCCAGTAGCAGGCGCTACGTGTGGGCGAGTGTCTATAGGCGTTTGGTATGGTAATGGTAATGGTAGTGGTAATGCATCGTGGGGAGGCGCCTGCGAGTTTTGAGTGGTTGTCTGCGACGGATACCTATGACTCTCTGTGTAGTTGCTCGACGAGGACGGAGGATCGCAGCGAAAGCAGTTGGTCCGCCATTTGTAATTCCGGAAGCCGCAGGAAGGGCAATTCCAGTCACCAGGGCGGCGGTTCGGACAGACAGTTTCTGTTCCGGTCCCGGTCCCGGTCCCGGTCCCAGTCCCAATTCCAACTCCATTCCCATGCGCCCAGATGCTTTTCTGCAAGCCGGGCCCGTTCATCGTTACGTAGTCCCAGGCGTCGCGGGGTGGCTGATGCTTGCCTCTCGAAGGACGACAAGCTCTGCAGCGACCCTGGGTTGTTGGTAGTGCATTGCGCAGATTGAATGCGATCAAGAACTAGGATACATTGTGTGACTTTGCAGAAGGGTTTCGAAGATGGTGGTTTGTAAGAGACAAGAGACGACAGACCTGAGACCTACACTCACTTGCGGCTGTGAGTTTATTTAAGCTTGAAAGTTGATACGGACCCAGCCGCACTAGTATTCGGCTCGGCCAAGAGTTACTCCGTCCGCATGCTTGTTTACCTTAGATAACTGGGTACTTGGAACTTGGTACTTTGTATATACTACTACCTACCTCTTACTTATAATTGGGACTTGTCGATTTCACATGTAGAAATGATTTACTCACAGCCAAGATTTGTGTACTTAAATTATTGATCTAACTGCAAATCTAATTCGTCTTATTCTTCGACTTAAGCACACATCCTTCTCGCTAGCCGAATCCTGATAAACTCTGACCTGCCTGCTACCGGTACCTACCACTTAGTCTATTCTACTCGAAAATCGCGCATCTGGATTTGTACCGTAACCATTTTGGTCTGGATGTGCGCAGAAGACTCAGGACCGAACGCAGTTAATTGTGATGCATTAATCGCTCGTTTCAAGCATGAAGCTGCTGGGGAAAGAGCTGTAAAAGCAAGCGAGCACCAGAGTCCAAGCGTTTGAAGCACCTCCTCGAGACTTCCCAAAAATCAAACAACCTTAAGTTCATCATGTAGAGGCTTCGATTTCAAATAGCTTGTCAGGCCCCTTAATACAACGAAGAACCACAAGCAGTTCTATTACCTTTATATCCTTACACACACGACCCCCGAAGACAAGACCTCCAGATCTCCGCCTTGAAGTATCGAGACCAGCTCAGACGAGCAAGCATCTTCAAGCCAGTCATGCATTACCACATCCAAGATCCGCCTGCCCAGGAGCGAAACTCGAGGAGGAGGGATACGGGATTTCCCGAGCCCCTGTCCGAAGGTATGTCTGTCCAGAATCCATGGACCAAGACCGTTGCTGAAGATCTGGTAGACCGGAACACGACGCTCCCTCACCCCGACGCGGATACCTCCCCAAATGCTACCATCGAATCTACCGATGTCATCCACAAACATACACACATACCGCGGTCCTTCCTCCACCACGGCGGACACCGTTCGCAAAGTTCCGCCTTCACTCGTAAGAACACTTCGGGATCGGGCCTGAACAATGCCATGGAATATGCAGAGGGCAACCCAGAGGGGAAGGGCACCAAAAACATGGAGAGATGCGCGGAGAAAGGGGCTGAACTCGCTACGCTGACCTCCTCCGATGCTTCTTCGTCACTGGACGGTAGTTCTGAGAAGCACGACTCGAGCCGGAAGAGAAGAATTTTCAAGAAGATGGGGGTCTCTTAATGAATGGCGCAGAGAACGTGTTGCTGAAATGATTGAGCGTGGGGTTTACTTGCGTGGGGTTTTAACAAGGAGATCGGATACCGGACCCTGAGAAAAACTAATAGAGATATATATGATATCTTGCCCCTGGACCGTCCAACGCCTGTTTGTGCACATTCTTGGCAACTCGCCTAGCTGCCCCTATATGTGGTGAAGCTGTACGGGCCCAGGAGAAGGGGTACGTGGTAATGCTCCTCTGATTTCACCAGGAAAGATACCTCGACCACCTAGAATTGTTAGCAGAGAATCAATCAAGGGGGGTGGGGTAATGAATAAATGGAAGCAGAAGCAGAAGCAGACTGCTGCTTACGGGAAAGAAAGTATTGGCAACTCCGTAATGCGCACCAGTATCAAACTGCATCTTCCAAAGGCTCGTTCCCAGCGGTCCTGATTTCGTAAATAAACACGAATGTCGTCCTGCATCCTCACAGACTTACGAGCTCCTGGTTTCTCCACCTGGCCCTCCTCCTCGATTATTTTTTTCATCATCTTGGTCACGGCCCAATTTTGCTCCTCGTACATACCTTCCATCCCATCATCGCCCTGCTTGTATTTCCACGCCCCGATACGACCATCCAGATTCGTGGTCGCTTCGAAAAAAACGGATTGCAGATCGCAGCAGGAAAGCTTGACGGACAGGTTGGCAGCAGGTCTACCGGTGGTTGTGTCGAGGACGTGGCAAGTTATAGGGGGGCGGGCAGGTTGGGTAGTGGACGTTGCTGACATGGTCGAGGTAGTGGTTGTGGTTGTGGTTGTGGTTGTGGTTGATCGGGGAGGATTCTGTAGATGGGAGGAAATAGCTGTGAGGCGTTGAGCTGGGCTGGCCGCGCTGTCGCTCATCGGCTGGATCATGTACGGCGTCGGCAGGCAATGATCGATATGATTCCGGGTTCAATTCGGGTAGCAAAATATACTGGTTTTGGTTGTTAGGTAGGGCTTCTTGCCTTTGCCTTTGCCTTTGCCTTTGCCTTTGCCTTTGCTTTTGGCTTTGCTTTGGCGTCTCCAAGGACCGGTACTTAACTATTTATCGTCAGCCTTGTTGGACTCTTTTCAGCCTTGGGAGTCGGAGTAGCGCTTGGTGGCCCTGCTTGGGAAGGCGGCGGAGAAATTCCAAAGATAAGTACTTACATACAACATCAACTCCACATCCTCGCCCTCTTTCCACCTCGAACTCGGAATCATACTAACCGGCCTACCCCTCCATCAATATTCATTGAAAGGTGAAAACAATCCCATCCCATCCCATCCCATCATGTCCACTGCCATCATAAACACCGACGACGACCAACTTGAGCCGACCCTTCAGTCAATCCTCGACCAAAAGACGCTGCGCTGGATCTTCGTCGGAGGCAAAGGTGGAGTAGGGAAGACGACAACTTCCTGCTCTCTCGCCATCCAACTGGCCAAAGTCCGCAGATCTGTCCTCCTCATCTCAACTGACCCCGCGCATAACTTGTCCGATGCCTTCTCGCAGAAGTTTGGCAAGGAGGCGCGCCTCATCGATGGCTTCACGAACCTGAGCGCTATGGAAATCGATCCGAACGGCAGCATCCAAGAGCTGATGGGTCAGGCAGAGGAGGGAGAGGGTCCCGCGGCTGGCATGGGCGGCATGATGCAGGATTTGGCCTTCGCTGTGCGTACTCGACAAACATGACATTTGTATCTGTCTATCGCCAGTGCTATACTAACACATACTCTAGATACCCGGTATTGATGAGGCTATGTCCTTCGCAGAAGTCCTCAAGCAGGTCAAGTCCCTCTCCTACGAGACTATCATCTTCGATACTGCGCCTACAGGCCACACCCTCCGCTTCCTCCAGTTCCCCACCGTCCTCGAGAAAGCACTCGCCAAGATCTCCCAGCTCTCCTCACAGTTTGGCCCTATGTTGAACGGTCTCCTCGGCGCCAACGGCTCCCTACCCAACGGCGCGAACTTACCCGAAATGATGGAGAAGCTAGAAGGTCTCCGCGAAACCATTAGCGAGGTGAATACGCAGTTCAAGGACGAAAATCTAACAACTTTCGTCTGCGTTTGTATACCCGAGTTCTTGTCCCTCTATGAGACCGAGCGCATGATCCAGGAGTTGGCTAGTTATGGGATTGATACGCACTGCATTGTAGTCAACCAGCTGCTGTTTCCCAAGAGCACGAGCGAGTGCGAGCAGTGCAATGCGCGGAGGAAAATGCAGAAGAAGTACTTGGAGCAGATCGAGGAGCTGTACGATGAGTTTAACGTGGTCAAGATGCCACTGCTGGTCGAGGAAGTAAGAGGCAAGGAGAGGTTGGAGAGATTCAGCGAGATGCTGATTCAACCATATGTACCGCCGGCGGGGGGTCTGTAGGTAGCTATATGGATACTCTTCGTGCCTGTATGACGATGGAGCTTTCTCACTACTTGATTTCTTCGCTCGCTTGGTTCTCCGTCTTCGCTGCCGGAGAGCCATCATCAGATACAGTCCCCAAACTCCCATCGATTTACTAACATTCATACTAATCCTCCTCCAAACCACGTTCTGTTCAGATTTCAAATCCCTATGATAAAAATGCGCTTCATGGGGAATTGATGCGATCCTGTGAACTCATTTATGTATAGTGCAAACGTACATCGCACGCCTTTCTTATATACTCTTGGCTGGGCTGCATACTTGGCTTTTTTCTTTAGATACTACTTTAGACCATAGTGCCAGCCTACTCTTTCATTCCAGGGCATCTTCATACTTCCCGTCACTGTTCTCGTCTTGATATACATTGTTACCCTTGCCCATTATGCCGCCACCGTATCCCGATGCGGCAGCAGAATGATTTACAAGACTTCAGGTTGTTGTTTAGAAAACAATACGCTGTATCATGTCTTTCTACTATGAAATTGTACATAACGCGATACGCAATATCAGAACACTTTTTAGTGTTTTGTAAAGGCCGACTTTCCGTCGCGCACCTTCCCTTATTTCTTATTCTCCGTTTATATACTTGATAAGGAGTGATAAAGGTATGCCAGATCTATATTCTTTATGAGAATAATCATATCAATTATCGCAATACTATTTTTATTTGAAAAGCAATTTTAGTTCGGATACTGCTTCCAATGTGCAAGATAGGTTTAAAGAATATATTATAAGACCGTGCGATTTTCCAGATGCCGTCTTTGAGCTTAACTGTATAAACAAATTGAATGTATCATGTCAATTTAACCGAGCGCGCTCAGAAAAGAGGGTTGCAAGCTGGCTTTCTTGAGAAGTGCTTGAATTGCGCTGAATTTACAATTAAACTCAATACGGACATGGCAAGAAAAACTCGCTTGACAAAATCACAAGGCCCAATCCAAACACAGAGCCGATACGTCGCCTCCATGCCCAAACTTTACACTTCGCTAAACTTCCTCCATCTAAATAAACGGGTTCACGGTGTACTCCAGCTCCAAAAGCATTGCTCACCACATCCAAAAGCCAGCTCACGTCGTCCATGACATGTAAGGCTGGCACAACGCCCTCTTCAATATGCAAGTCAAACGCCACCATTCTCTTTACGTCGCCCAGATACCCACGACTTTTGCCCCCTGCTCTCCTCAGCCATTCCAGGTGCTTATCGAAGTTCGCCTCGTGCCAGACTCTAGTCGGTGAGATCTGGGTCCTCAGGGTTCACGAGCGTCAGGCACACACTTTTCAGACTCCCCGTCACGACCCAGGGCGCTAGGCGCCTGAACGCCTCCTCACACCAGTTCTCCGCGCTCAGCAGGTTGATCCGCAGCTTCAGATGCCGGACATCGAGCAGGTCGAAGATCGCGAGGGAGGGAGCGTCCATGAGTTTAATGAGGTCGCGCGGGGAGGTGAGCAGGGTGTTTCGTTCCCAGAGGAGGGGGGCGCATTCCTTGCGGAGCTGTTTATTAACGAGGGGGATGGTGTGGGAGATGATGTTTAGTGGCCCGGGAGAGTACGGGCTGCTTTCGTGGAAGCGGTAGATTGGGTGCTCAAATGGCCTTGATGAGATTTCAGAAAGGCTGACGAAGCCGGTGCTCGAATTGGGGACGCTGCAGATGATTTCCACGCGGATTCCGGGAGGAAGAGAAAGGAGGTGCTTCGTCTCCGAGGTTGGTTTTGATGGTGAGGTGGTTATGTGCATCGACTGCGGTGGTATTTGACTGGGGTGATTGCCTACTGTGATATTTATCAACCGCTTTAGTTGTCGACCGGGGTGGCGCTTAAACACAATGGTCGTCAAGTGTGATGGTCGTCGGGTATATGATTGACGAGTGTGGCGATACTGAGGATTAAAGGATCGATTGATATGTTAGAGCTTCTGGTAGATTCAAAGACGTCCGTCCTAGATTCTAGAATAAAGAGCAGAGAGTATATAGGGAATATAGTTGGTGTGAGTAGCTCGAGAAGCTAGAGCCAGATTCTCAATAATGGTTTCCTCGCTCGCACTGTAGCTTAGAAGGAAGCAGCCATTAGGGTTAAAAATTGGGCCATCATTAGAAATTCGCTACAATGATCTTTGAGAGGAAGCCAGCGGTGATGATATAAACAATCTCTTAACCGTTAATACGCCAATTGCGATCGAGCCGGATTCCCGCTCGAAAGATTTACAAGAACATGGCATAAGCAGGACCCAGGCATCTGCACCGATTAAACAGGGTAAACATTCATGTTTTCATTCAGCTTTGTTTATGGATTCCTGGTTTCTTCGCACATAAAATTTAATCAGTTCCACGTTATCCTAGAGAGGTGAAGAAGAATGCCTGCCGTTCCCAGATTAGTGGCGAAGATGTTAGAGGTCCGGTTTCCTTATGCCAGATCCTGTACTCCCGATGTACCCTTTAACGCTCAGAGTCCAAGTTCGGACCTTGAGATGCGGAAGTAAAAGGTTCTGCCCTTTGAGCAGTTGGGTATGTCGAAAGAACCCGTCAGAAGTTTTCGGCACTTCTATAGTGCCCAGCTTAGGGGGCCGAAGAAGCTCTGAGAAGCGCTGCCACGAAGTGTATAAATCCAAGAAAGGTCTTTGGAACAATCCTAAGTCTGTCGAATGTTTCTGCCGAGTGTTTCTGTTTTGAGCCCAAAATTCCGGCGGCGCAATGACAAATCAACTCACTGTACCTGCCTACACGCCCCGGGAACAATCCTGATCTCCCCGTTCCTAGGATCAACATGATAGCCTTCAGCGACCTGCAAATGGTCTTTGAAACAGAGAAGTCCGTCGACGTATAGCCGGCCACCGCCAAATGCTTCGTGGAGTTCCAGCAAGAGCTCGTTGATACCACCTGGGTCCATCAACATTTCTCTGAACCATTTCTGCTTTCCCCAGTTGCAAAACCTCGGCCATCCAGTGTTCACAATCATTCGGGTCCAGGTGCTCGAATCCTTGTACAAGCGGCCGTCCAGCACTTCTCCGTATTTGCGCATATTCTGTATCTCCTTGAATTCCTGCAGGTCCTTCGGCTTATCCCACTCTGCCACGATCGTGATGGATTCTAGCCTGCCGTATCGAGCCCAATCCCCGAGCGCTTTCGCTGAGCTTGCAACCCACTCGAGCTCATCTCGGTCCAGCAGCTCCAGGGTCAGCCTGAGCAATCGTATGCGCTTTGCAGGACCGTGTTTCAGTAGGCTTCTGAACTTCTGCGATAGCTGGGTATGATCAGATCGAAGACTGAGCCGGTTGTGGTGCCAGATGAGATCTTTGCATTCACGGTGGACCTGCTTACATGTCCTCAGAAGCGCGAGGGACTTGGCGACCTCGACAGTCCATGGAGACAGAGTAACCGCGCCAGATTGTGTGCTCAGGGCGTGTGTGTAGATCTGGTCGCGGATCTCTCTTGGGAAGACTTGGAGGAAAGCGAGGGGCATAGTAGAGGTGCAGGTAGAGGTGGAGGTGGCGGCAGTGATGCGCTGAAAGAGAACTTGATTATAATAATGTCGAGAGAGAGACAGCAAGAATTGTGAATCTGATTGAGATATTAGTTAAATAGTCCTTCGATCTGTATTCACAATGCCGTAGAGTGGTCGGACACCATCCGATTGAATGGGTATGATGGAACTTGGCCACTGACGGTAGTGATCAAACGCTACGGTGACCACTTTACGCGAAAACGCGAGACACGTTCTTATTTACTTTCTTAAGCGCGTTTAGACGCGACTTTCCCAGCCTCCTCTAGGTATATCTTCAACTCCGACCCCTCCTGGTCTCGTCGTCGGTCGCAACCCACAATCCCCAATCTTCCTTTCTCACCTTCCGCCATTACAATAATTAGATTGCATTGCATCCATCAGCTCAACATCGCTCTTGCATCTACACCCACATCAATCGTATCGCTCCATCATGCCTACCGCCTTGAAGAAAAGAAAGCTGGCAGCCACGAACGCGCTTTCGACCAGATCGCGAGGTCTGAATGCCTTTGCATCAGTCTCCAAGGCAAGCCCGACCGCGACGGCCGTCGTCGAGAAGAACACCATCGTCGATAGCATCGTGGTTACTCCCGAACACATTACCAACAACAAAAAGAGAAAGCTCGTCGAGGAGGACAGCCCGCAGCCTACCGCAGCGACGCGCCCGGTCAAGTCCCTTCGAACCACCAATCCGCGAACACCCAAAACACCACAACAGCCTATTCTCAGCTATCTCAGCCAATCTCTCCCACTGACTGATACTCCAACCAAAGGTGCGCGCAGTCTTCTGGATCAATTCTGCATCACTTCGAAAACCCCGACAAGGCCCAGCCTTTTCTTCAACAGCTCAAGTTCCAACCTTGTCGCATCCACACCCAAGCAGTCCTCCGCAGCATCCTCTCCCGAGCCCCCTGCCGAATTACTTGACCTTATCAATTTACACGCAGCATTCCTCACAGCATTGTCAATACATTATGCACACAACGGAACGCATTCACCTGCAGACCTGCGAAATCTCTGCCCGGATGTCGCACGGGCGTGGGGGAAGCGTCGAGTTACTCTTGACGACATCCGGAGATCTATCGGCGTTCTGAATGCGAACATACCACAAGAAAGCAAAGACGGCAGGATTTCGAAGCTCAGTCTGTCAGATTACGGATATGGGAAGATATGTATCGAGATGAAGACTTTGGGCAAGGCAGGCAGGATTGCCAGGCCAATAAACGAGAATCTGCTGAACGAGATTTTTGAGCGAGGATTGAAGGGCGCATGGAAGAAGAAGGATGTCGAGCTTCCTATACAGGACTTCATCCAGAAGCTGCCTATGGAACCGATCACCACTTGCTCTTCGCTTATGAAGATGTCGCCGTTGCTTTCTAAGGGACGACGAAGACTGGAGGACTTGAAGGCTGGCATTACGATGAAGGAGTCAGGCAACGTGAAGGTTGAAGAGACGACTGATCCCAAGCTCACACTTCTGGAACGCTTACGGGCGAAGCAAGTCCACAATGCATCACTCCCACCCCCAGCTTCGAAGGCCGAAATTGCGCGGAAAGCAGCATTGGGCAGGATTGAGGAAGTCGTCGCGGTTTTGGTCATTCTCAGCACGTCGACATCCATCGGCCAATCCCGCATCTCCTTCACACTTCCAACCATCATTGGAAAGCTGCGCGATTCCTTCAAGACGCCCATGTCGAAGCAGGAGGCGGATACCTGTGTTCGATTGCTGGCTTCGGATATAGCTCCCGAGTGGGCAACGCTGGTGAAGATGGGAAAGGTAGAGGCGCTGGTTGTCAACAGAGACGAGAGGCCTACCGAGTTGATTATCAAGGAGCGTGTTAGGCGTGCCGCTTAGATTCGTCGAGTTAGACATAGATGCCGGACACGGGGAGACTTGGAAGGGATTCCTGCTTGAGTTGGTGGAGTCAGTTCTGGATATTGAAGGCCAGGAGAGAATTCTGTTCGAGTCAGTCAGTACGTAGTTGTATACCCTCACGGATGGAAGCACTGTTGGAAACAGCACAACAGAATAAATAGCAGTCAATGAATTGATGATCAATACCAGTGCTCTATTCTTCCTGCCGGTGTGTCTTATCTATCGTAGAAGGTTCGTGGATCGATGAACCCGCAGGATCAATCAACCTCTCGTCATGAATGTCACACTGTATCCCCCCTCAACCTGGAGCTCTCCTTCAATCTCTCGGCGGCCATCCGCCATACATATACCACCCAACATCTACTTCTTCGGTCCAAATCTCGGCGCACCAATATCACTCCCCCGCAGCTTGATGCCCAGCACTCTCTCCATACTCGCCAGGATCTTCTGGTCGGGCGCGGCGGAGCCCCTCTCGAAATCGGCGACGATGGACTGGGTAGTGTTGCACTTGGTGGCCAGGTCCTTCTGGGTCATCTTGGGGTTCATGGCCTGGCGCTGGTTGGAGATGGCGGTGCCGACCTCCTTGCCGACGGTGGTGGGCTTGACAATGTCGTCGCTGCGGTCGACCTTGGTGAGGTGCTGGCCTTCGATGCCGGGTTTGGAGGCCTGGGCGGGGGGGGGAGAGAGTAAGCTTTCAATTCGGGGACTTGGGGAGATGGGAGGAGGAGGAGGGGAAGAAACAGAGGAGAGAACTTACAGAGTTGCCAGCACCGAACTTCTTCTCGGTCCCAATCACGTTGCCGCTGCGCTGGGCTGCGTTCAAGGCGGCCTTGCCACGAACCACCGTCTCGCGCGCAGCACCGCCGCCGCGGGTCTTGCTCCCGATCTTGGTGACGGTGTCCCAGTCGTCCATGTTGGCAGATTTTGTTGGTGGTAATGAGACGTGGCAAGGGTATTCGGACGGGAGGCGGGTGAGAATGGTTGCAAAAGATGTGTGTATTGGGTGTTTGCGTGGTATAAATAGGAGAGGGAGAGGGAGAGGGAGAGGGAGAGGGAGTCGGAGTCGGAGTCGGAGTGGTCGTCGTGAAAGCTGTCGATTTCTGGATCGCTGTCACCCCGCGTGAATTCATCTACTTCACAGCCCCGCATGACTAAGCAGGTCAGAGTCTCCACAGTCCGACGGTCCGTTCAACTCGTCGGTAGTTGTGGATGGAATAAAGGAATGTTGTCGTTAGCCGATAGCATTTGTTTATCTTTATATTCGATTCTTGCTTTCTTTCCCTCTTCTCGCTTTACTCGAAAGTTGCCCTAATAAATATGTTTCTTAAACACAGTTCCTCATGATAATAGGAGACCGAGCCGAGAGCGAGAGTCCCCATTGTTGTTTTCCTCCTCGGCACTTCCGCCACTCCCTAATATCAAAATCTAAGATGGAGATATTCTCGCCCAGAAGCCTCGGATTGCTGGCCGTGGCAAGCATTCTGGCATTTGGCAACAGCCCGGATCTATTTCTCCTCCTCTTCTTCGCCGCCATCAAGAAATGGGACACGATCCAAGCCCTCACATTCTTCCTCAACGTCAACTCCTCCCTTCTCACCACCACCCTCAGTGTCGTATTGACAGTCTTTATCTGCTTCCAGATATACCGCTATCTCAACACACTTCAGCAAACCTCGACACCATGCCATTTTCCCGTCAAGCCAATGCTTTTCCCCTGCGAGACGGCTCACCAGAGGTTGTTCCCCAAGAGACATGCCTTCGCTTATTCGTACCTGCTGGTCGGGATCCCCGTCGCTTGGAGAGGATCTGTCGGAGGGATGATCTCTTCAGAAACGGAGAAGAAGGCAACGTCCTGGACGTCAAGACTATTCTCTCTCAAGCCTCGGGGAGCCTGGTATACGGTTAATGGCGATGATTATCTGGAACGAGGTCACGTGGAAGGCGGGCTGGAGGAGAAACTGCATCGGTATCTTGAGAGCCAGGTTTGTTGTGCTCTCCTTGCTCCTATGCTATTGGAGATGGATACGGATACAATGAGTTGAGTCTGACCGGGAGCAGAATGTTGATCCTCAACAATACACCCACGTCTACCTCCTGACCGCAGCTCGCTTTCTCGGCTACGCCTCCAACCCAGTCTCAATCTGGCACCTCTATTCTTCCACCAAAGAACTGAAAGCCTTAGTACTGGAAGTCAACAACACCTTTGATGAGAAACGTACATACTTTCTCGAGCCCGCTCAATCCCCTTCTCCCTGCCCCCAAGATGGCGTAAGCGAAGTCCAAAAACCACCTCGCTACACAGGCACCTGGCCGAAAGACTTCTACGTCTCAACCTTCAACTCTCGCAACGGCTCATACTCGCTGTCGGCCAGCGACCCCTTCTTCCCGTACATGACCAAGGCAGGACCCATTAACACTACCATCACACTGAACTCCTCCTCCTGCAAACCGAAACTCGTAGCGAGGGTCTACTCGGCCGGTCCTGCACTCGACCCAACGACCATGTCCGCGTGGGCGAAGACGAGATTTCTAGCCTCGTGGTGGTGGGTCGGGCTCGCCACGTTCCCTCGAACCGTCAAGGAAGCGCTGAACCTGCTGATGAGGAAAGGCATGCCATGGGTCTTCCGCCCAGAGCCGAGGAAGGAGACGATGGCGCGGAAAGCAGACCCTCTGGAACTGATGATTGAGAAGCATTTTCGAAACTACATCCGTCATCAAGTAGTCAATTCGTCTTCTGAGCCGGTATCAGTCCGCTACATCCCCGCCGGTCTCGTTGGTCCCGCTGCAAGAGAGGAGTTGATGGCTTCGCCGTCTGCAGATTCCGACACGCCGGTAGAAGAACTGCGAGTTCTGACGCCCCTCTTCTATTCCCGACTTCCGCAGTACGAGTTCATTGTCGGAGCATTGCTCGCCGAAGCAGCATCTGGGACTATCTCGCTATCTCCGAATCTCCTCCAAGTTCTCGAATTCCCCGCCGTCTCCATCACAGCCAACCCATCGATCCAGGGAAACCCCGACGAAGTGCTCAGATTGTCCGTAATAGACCTTAACTTCCTCGCTGCGCTCCGCAAACGCCCCGCGGCGATTGCAATACCCGAGCAAGAGAGAGCGGCGGCAACGAAGCCTCCAAAGCTGACGGGCGATCCCGGACTAGGGAGTCTGGACCACTTCATCCTGTCCACGGTTTCCACGCACGAGTGGAGGCTATACGTCAAGAAGGTGCTGAAGTTGATGATCGCGGGGAGAGTCGCTCTAGGCATGACAGAGCTTCTCGATCTTGAGATCTTGGTGCTGAGAGCCGGTGCTGCGTGGGGAGTTGTGAAGCTGTTGTTGAACTGAATTAGGGCTATCGACAGGTCCATCGTGATCCGTGCGCCATCATCGGGATGAACCACTCACTCACGACTAAGCGAAGTCTCAAGCCAAACTGAAAGCCGAGCCGGACGGAAAAGGCTGTTGTGTGCTGACTGAGTAGCTAGTTATAACTTGTAATCAAGAAAGAAGAAGATGGGCAGGTACCAGGAGTTGCGGCGCAAAGACATTTCATTCAACGGTTTATCATTGGATATAGGCTCGCTTCTAGAGCGAAGAAGAATTGACTGCCATGATGCGAGGTGCGGAAAAAGGGTATTGATTGAGAAACAAAGAGCGAAGCTCGGCGAAAAACTAGATACGTATACCTGCGCCAGTCTGTGTCACGTCTTCCAACGCTATACTTTGCCATGCCATGCCCTTGCCTTAGAATATCTCGTACTTTTCTCCGTCTCACTAATAGCTCTTTGTTTGATTCTATCCTATCTCTTCGCTTAGGGCCCTTGACATCCATCGTCATTTCAATTATTTTCTGCCACATCACCAGCACCACCACGTCGCTCACTCACTTCCAAAATACAAAGCACTTCCTCCTTTAGGTATGAGAGTGCTGAGAGCTATAGTAGAGGAGTAGCCAAGAGACCAGCCAAGAGGCTAGTCCATACAAGTGAATACAGGCAGCAGGCAGAACCCAATATTTTAACAATATGTAAAAGCTACCGCTACAGCTAGCTACAGCTAGCTACAGCTAGCTACAATACAAACATCAAATATCAAATATCAAACATCAAATTACATTCATTCATTCAATTCTGCACCCGGAGAAAAAACCACTGCCACCACCATTATAATCATACCTTAATCAAGCCATACATCTCTCCCTCTCCCTCTCCCTCTCCCTTCGCCTTGGTTTTCTAAAACCCATCCCACCCCCGACTCATCCAAATCCCAATCCCAAATCCCAAATCCCAAACCACAATACAATACAACAAAGTAAAACAAACCCAAA